GAGATCCAAGACTAAGGCTGTTTTTATTACCAATGAGATGTGAGTCCCATCTATGGCTTGTTTTTCCCCAGTCTAGTGAGCCGTAGCAAGGCCACACGGGTACAGACGTGTACGTAGAACCACTTGGTTATACCGTTATTAGTAGCCACCCACAGTAAAATTCTTCTTACCGCTTGTAGTCTTTGAGCATGGTATTCAGCTGCCGTAAAATATCTTCCTGGTTTTATCAGTTTATCCGTCATATTTGATACATACACACCAATTTTAGTCATCTGTGTGGATGTTGTGTTTGTAGTTTGTTGGAGCTTTTTTCTCTCATAAACTGTCTAATAGAAAATCATAAAAATTAAAGGATCCACTATGCACAAACATGAAAGAGTGAAGAGCATATTTCCCTACATATTTAAGTTAATTTCTTTTATTATTTTAAGTGCCATATAATTACTTAGAAGAAAATCATTTGAAAGAGTCACACAGTTCAATGATTTTTGGTTCTAAAACCAAAATGAAAACTAAAACCCTCACCTGGGTATCCCTACAAAATACATTAAGTTTTTGAAGAATCTTTTTAGGTACAGTTTGTGTCCCAGCATTGTGATATTCCGTTCCTGTTAGTTTATGTCTGAATCCACCAAGAAACGGTTTGTGAAAGTCACATGTTACAATCTCAACAGCTACATTCTGGTACTGATCAATACCTGAGGAGAGAAGACCAAGACTGAATGGAAGTTCAGCTTCAGAGACTCTAAACTACTTTATCGAAAAATATCCAATAACTGACCCGTCTCTACTTTGACAGTTACGACTCGAGAGCCATTGCTGACTCCAGCTACTCTTGTGATTGGATACCGATCTGGATTTGTCGAAGAGATTTCTACTTGCATCATGTGCTGCGGCTTAACTCCATGTTGTAGCAGAGTCTCATTATTTTTAAGAATTGCTCCTAAAAAAAATATATAAAATAAAATTATAACAAGTTTTATGACGAAGAGATGGTTTTATACACACACTTATTTTAAGGAGATGGAAAACATTGAGGGTGCTTATACGAAGGCTTACCATTGAAATACCAATATCATATCAACAGTCTCCACCTCCTGTTGTAATATTGGTACAGAAAACTCCACAGTGGGAAGAAGTAAGGAACAAGAATGCAACATTAT